AGGGGTCCCCCAAGCGTTACATGGAAAAGATGTTGCTCGATTTGCTACGGCCATTGGAAGTGAGCTCTCCTCCGGTTCCTTGCCTTACCTTCGCCACCACTGATTCATTTTCCCCCCTGTCACCGATTCAGCCTCCAGACGGCCCAAATGCCGGCATAGCTGAGTTGGCGAATGCTCTGTATCAGGCGGTTCACAAGCGTCCTACGCCGATCTCGGTTCCAAACGATTACATCTATAATACCTTCAACATGAAGGAAATCATCGCGAGAATTCAGGAGCATGCTAAGAGTGATCCTGCTGAAGAATCCGAGGTGAACCAGGACGCTGGAGGGAGCCAGCAAGTATAGGGTACTGTAGAATTCAACGGCTTTTGGCTGAGGTCTGGAGCCTACATTCGTGAATCTTCGGTCGAAACAACAGAACGAGGTTTCTGAAAGCCCTGAATAGAAGCCTTGACAGACCTGGGAGTCCTGCGTCCACCTTGACGGGTGAAAGGAGCTAGTAAGCTGAAGGTGATTGTATATAGCTAAATTGAAGCGAGCCGCGTGAAAGCTAAGAACAACATGAGGCCCGACCACAGGTGATATGGATCATTTTGGGGGGACGGTTTCCGAGGAACAAATCGAAATTATATATAGCCTTCAGCTCCCGGTCCAACTCTTGCCAGGTATAACCTAGAGGCCGATTAATCGAGGAGGTTGGGACCGAGGGACCGTTGATGAGAATTGGCGGAAGTAATCGAGGTGCGTACGATTTGAATGTGCGCTCCATTGGCCAGCTTTCTTTGGGAGCGTTCCATCGGAGTTCTTCTATAAGGTACATACTCTGTGGGTCACTAAACTGACGAGAGAAGTTGTATCGAAAGTCGGGTCGAGGTTTCAAAGGTCCGGATTCAGGTGAAGTCGTGGAGGCTCTATTGAGCATCGGCGGAACGACTTGGGGTGACAGACTGCGCATCAAAACCAGCCAAAACGATGAATCAGGTAGGGCTAAACATCGCTGTCATCAGCCGGAAGAGACGATGGAGTGAAGTGGTAAAAGATAATTCGATAGAGCATCGGGAAGCACGCGATCAGGATTTGGGCGTTTGGCAAGGCCGCTGACTAAGAGGCCTCCCACTGAAGCGCTCACGCGGATCAATACCGACGGTTGCTTTGTCTTCGACTCCCACCACGATTCACTAAACCTTCGTCCTGTCTATTTCGAGTCTCTTTCCTCCCTTTCCTCCCTTTCATCCAATGGAATTTGAATGAGCAACAAACGTGGACACGAACGACTCTCGCGGAGCTACGAGGAGATGAATCTACTGTGCTTGTGGAAATGTACCACTGTCATTCAGTTTATGGAGGTATGACTGGAACGACCCACTGTGCGTGTTGTGAAGCCCGTCCTGTCCCTTACTTAGGTCAATCTCAGCTATATGGACGATACGGAACGGCTCTCCCCTTCTCCGAGTTAGTAATGTTAGTTTGGTGCGTCTGGACGTCACGGAGTAGTTCAAGTCCCGACTTCCACCAACCCACCCAAGGACTCCATTCGGCTCGAATCGATCGCTAGCTTTTCTGACTCTGGATGGGATGAACAACTTATGTGGCGAGGGATCCAAGTTGCTCAAGTTGATGTTGTGAGCCGTGATTATAGCGAATTCTCAGAATGCTACCCATCCTTGTTGATTCTTCGATGTGTCTCATCACTATACAGTAATCGCCCTCGACTCCGATACATCCTGCCAGTGCTAAACCTTAGCCTTCGGGTGTTATTTCCTCCTGATCCCTTGCGGAAAGCTTTCCAATCGATGTTGTACATTGTAAAGCAAGTCAACGCTTGCGTTCTCCTTCGGCTCCAAGTCCTCAACAAATCTGCCTCCTGTTGGTTCCTTCGGCAATCGAGGCAACGGATCAATTCTACAGTGAATTCCGATTAGTCAAAACGCGGCTGTCATCCGAAACACTTTCTCTGCTGGGAGTTTGAAAGGCGCTTTGAATAGTCGACGTTGCTCTCTTATCTACCGTGTCTACGCCCTTGGAACGGGGAGGATCTCAAAGGTGCATACCTGCACCTTCTAAATTTCTGGGATGCTTCGTCAAGCCTCATCGGTCAATTTGTGGCACTTGTGGCGTTTACGGCCAGACTGAGAATGATGACGACATATTTAGACCCAAGTAGCACTGTCCTTGACTCGCGCAGTTCTTAATGCGAGCAAGTCAGCAAGTCTATTTCCGTAGTCATGGCTCAACAGCTGAAGGAGTACTGCACCAATACTGCACATCCAAATCATTGGTCCAATCCCCTCACAGTCTCCGATGCAGTGCATAGCACTCAAGATGGGCGGGGCCTTCGGATGGCACCCGCCTCCCTGATCTCCAGATGGCTGATACACGTATATGCAACGGACGGGAGGTAAAGTATATAACCCTACAGTCGACTAGAAAATGATTTCACTCCATAATATTCCAACATCGAATGACCTCTCAATCAGCAAACATTCGACGAGCTTGTGGAACTTGCAGGTAAAGTTTTACGATGTGTTTGGCTGCTCGATCATCGACGAGTGCTTACCGCGATTTTTTACCAGGAGGAGAAAAGTTGTAAGTTGTCCTGAAGGACTTCCAGAAGATGACTCCTGATACTCTCAAAATGCAGCGATGTGACGGTAGTCGACCAGTTTGTGGTCCATGCTCCCGGAGATCCCACCTCGGCGTAGTAGAGTGTGAATACGCGGACTTTGATGGGAAAACTGAATCCGAAATCCTAGAATACAGGATTTCGGGACTGGAGAGCAGATTGAGAGAACTACAAAGTCCTCAAGAAACTCCAGTCTCTGTTTCTCTCACAAACCCGTATCCAGAGGTGAGAAATCCATCTTGGTAATGCAGTTCTAGCGCCCAGAGAATCTGACTCGATAGCAACAGCGCCGATCATTAGAGGTATACCGCCCTTTCACGGTTCCGAGACAACAAGAATCTGACTTGTCGACGTCCCAGAACTTGCCTTCCGAGCTACAAAGAACAATGTAAGTAAAACAGCGCTCGTCTTCTCATATTTGCTAATATTCGTCGAAACAGACTCACCTCTGTCCTGAGTCAGTCGTTCAATGTCGGCTTCTTTCTGAATCCGACGCGTTTCTGGGCGTCGGCGATGTCAAACTTGCCTTCAGGGCACCCTGAGCGTCCCACTGTGACTCTACTTACTGTCGTTCACCTCCTTGGCCTCCACCTTGCTGGGCGATCTGGAAGCGCCCAAGATCGGCAACGGGTAGAGATTCAAATTCAGCAACTCCTCTCGACTGCACTCCAACAAGTATCGACCATGCTGAATTCTAGTCATCCCCATAGAATTATACAGGGTATACAAGCCGAGGTACTTCTGAGCACTTACTTCTTTGACATCGGAAGGATAGTGGAGGGGCAGTATCACCTCAGTACCGCGGTTTCACTGGCGATAGGCATAGGTCTCCATCAAATCCGTAGCGCCCGGGGGAGACGTACGGCCACTACGCTGCCTCCGCCTCGAGATCCTGTCGAAGAAGGGGAGAGGATCAACGCGTTCTGGGCGGTCTATGCCCTTAGTAGTATGTGGGGCGTGGCTCTGGGATCTCCTTCAATTTCTGTATTTGAAAGGAATGGGGATACGATTGACACCCCTTGGCCGCTTGATATGGTCGATTACGAGCAGGTGTGTTTAGGATTGCTCACTCTCCAGGTAGCAATAACTCACCCTGTTTTCAATCTCAAAGACTGGTCTACCGCGCGATCTAATAGGAGTGTCGACTGTTCAGAACTTTCTTTCTCGCGTGCAACCAAGGACGAGCGGAGTCGTCTCCTCTGTGAACGCGTTGGCCTCTCAGGCTTCGGCTCTCTTGCACAGTGCCGGAAATCTCGCGGCAGAATTTCAGTCTGGTACGTCTGGATTTTCACTAGCCCTACTCGGTTCGCGTCTCTTAGTTGAACCCCTCTCCCCTATTCAGAGATGACGAGTGCAGAACGGCAACGGTTGTTCCAGTCGTTTAGCTCTCTTGACGGCCTTATTGACACATTTATCGGTTCTCGACTTCCTCCGATAGGTCGACTCGAGCCCACTTCACGCGTTTTCGGGGCTGCACTGCTAACACATACGCTTGCGTATGCGTCTTCGATGCAACTCCATTCTCCGTTCATTGACAGGGACCCAAGCTCAATGGCCAAGTCGGTAGCGGCTGCGGAGGCTTCTGTCCGTTTGCTACGAAGAGCAAATGGTGCGGAGTTCATGCCGCCGGTTATGGCTATGCTGTGGGTGAATGTGGGCAGGGTTATTTTGAAGGAGGTGTCAAGGCTGCGGAGAAGTAATCGGGGCAATCGACGCCACGGTGGCAACGGGGGAGGATCTGAGAAAGAAGGAGAGCTGTTAAGAGATCTTGAGAGGATCATGGAGACCATGCTGGCCTTCGCGGAAAGTTCACCCCTCATGCGTGAGTATCGTGTTTTTTACTCTCGTGGGTTTCATGCTGACCCTTCGAGATATTAGGGAGTCAGTTGGCGAATCTACAAGAACTTTATCGAAGCCTGTGAGAGTTGGCCCGTTGACGAGTCATTCGCTTTGGCATGATTCGGTACAACATAGGCTCTGTCCATTCGATCGCCACCCCTCTCCATGATAAATCACTACGATACGGATACACGGTACGGATACACGGTTGATCACTCAGCCCCTAGACTTGCCATGTATGATAGACGTCCTGAAGTATTCTGAACCTGTCATTCTGGTTATACCTTACATACATCACTGTTTAATATACTTACTTTCTACGATATACGTACCTACTTACCTTACTATTCTTATATCTCCCGGAGACTCAGACTGCGAAGTCGGGCAGAGGCAGGGTGCCATGGCCGTGGCGCTGATGTTTATATTTGCCTCTGCGTGTGGACGAGCGCCACGACTTGTTTAACGGACAACGAGTGGATGAACAGTGTGCAGATCTGATGCCACCGCATGGGCTGACTGATACTCACTCCGTCCAAGCCCGCGTTGTCTAATGGTTATGACGTCAGACTTCTACTGGGCGTTGTAGATCTGGAGGTTGCGGGTTCGAGTCCCGCCGTGGGTTCTCGGAGCGAGACTGCCCTTTTTTTGAGGAGTCAGGCGATCTGGACTCTGCGGGAGGCGAAGGATCAAACGAGTGCACCAAATAAGACTCAGAAACTTCCTTAACTCCCCCTGCTAGAGTCAACTCACACTTCGCCAGTCAATAGCTACCAATACAGATTGAGCCCAATTTGAATACCTTGGGCTGGTCCAATACTGATTTCCTTCAACCTCGTACCCAAGCTTCGTGAAGATCATTGTTCGGCAGGACAGAAGGGCAAGATTTTTGGGTGGAGGATGAAAACTAAGGTGGGGAACCACGGGGTGAACGTTAAGTACTCGATCATGGAAGCTTAAGCAACGGCACTGGGCAGTATGGCGGGCTTTTCTTGCGAAATCAAATTTACCATACAGACAGACGCGTGATAGACACCTGCATATCTACTAGATCGATGTCCTACTAAACACCCAATCAATCTCCTCCATATCACTGAAACCGCCCCAATCGTAGTCGTCTGCGTAGACTTCCTCGGGGTCCTGGTACCATTGTCTCGTCTTCATCATAAACGGGGCTCGAATCACCGACAGCCGTCCTTGCTCACCACATTTCGCAAACAGCTCCTTCGCCTTGGCCAAGTCCTCTTCACTCGTTCTATCCGCGATCGTGATGTCGGAGAATGGGATAATGAGTTCGACCTCCATAGCCGAAAGTATTCCTGAGGAAGAGAGCAGAGTATCCAGGACGGCCCACTGCTCTTGAACGACTCTGAAACCGCTACCGGAAACGTTGAATGTGATTCGGTGAAGGGAAGAGGAGGACAGCGTCGCTATCATCCTGCGAATCAACCGTAACAGCACCACGTCGATGGAGGGCGCCGCGACGTTACGATAGCTTATTGCGAGTCTTTCGAGTCGGTGGAGTGGGGAGAGGTCATAAAGTGCTGCGAACGTCGAATTGAGAATGGAGGGAGTGGGCAACAAAGTTGATGTATGTACGTACCTGTGTCATCGCGCCCAGCGACAAAGAACCACGTATTGAATCCGAGATGCAGGAACCGTAGTTCTTGGCACTGAGCTAGGAAGGGTTGGATATTGGGATTGAGAACAGTGGAGACATCGATCGTGTGTACCGAAAGGTTGACAAGTCTGGTTGGAGAGTGAGCGTTAAGCCACTGATAGACGTAGAGTAGCCCGTCAGCATCGATGGTACTATCATCTCCGCCGAGTTTCAGTGATTTAATGGACGATGGGAGAGTGTAACGTGTGACTGATTGCTGAACTCGGTCGGAGTGATCGTCACTGGCACAACCGCTGAACATCTTGAGTACCTCTAAACGAGGGAATGAGCAGATGAAATGGATCAATGGAGTCGGCTTTTCCGATACAAAGTGAAGGTCCAGTTGGGTGATGTGTCCGAACGAGCGCACAAAATGCGAAGCAAAGGTTGTTTGTATCCCGGTGGTCTCGTAGCTACTACCGTTCGAGTTGTTATATGTCAGTAATTCTCCCGCCTTTGAGGAGATGGTTAGTCTCCTCAAAAACGGAGCTTTGTCTTCGAGGTTCCCCGTAATCGATTGGATCAGCGACACACAGGACACAACTTCATCCTCTTTACCGAGAATGTATGCATCTGCTTGCAAAAGGTGTCTAGCGAAGTTGAAACCTATCTCCTCAACATAGCGCGGTATTGTCGAGTGTTTAGAGCCCAAAAGAGACGCAAGTATGGCACAACGATAAATGGAGGAGGTATCGATTTTAAGTGTTTTGAAGAGCAAAGGACGACAGGTATGCAGCCAGGATTGGCAGACCTCGGAGCATGAGAGCAGGGACTCATGGTCGCAGTCTGGGAAAATCTGTTCAACGAGCTCGAAAGGTATTCTGCAGTTGTGATCTCCCGGAATCATGGTGGTGAAGACTCAAGAAGTCGATCATTGCCTTTTTTGGATTTCGAGCGTCGTATCGTTAGGCTCGGTGTTTGGACAGGTTCGTATTTAGTCAAAGATGATTGTACAAGGAGACAATCGACAACACGCAGAGAAAAGAGTAACTAGTTTACAGTATCAAGGGATGATGATAGAGGCTAGAGGCGAAGGGTACCGAGTTGATGAGTTTTGCACTGATGAACCGATACCCATTATACGTCTGATAACGATGCGAAAGGCTATGATTATTCGAATCTGAGGTACTGAATAATGCTCCCAGCATTCTACGCAAGGCACGCCGCATCCCCGCCTTCCAAGACTAAGACCATCCCTCCATCTCGATTCTCGGGACAGCCGAAACGGGTGCTTCCATCTATCTCCGTTCGCACAGCCCGCCGAACAGACCTACGGGTGCTCGTAAAGGACCAGAACCCTGAGGTGTATTTGCTTGGAAGAGCGCCCGGATAGCATTGCCTCCAGCGACCGAAATACACAACGATGACGAGAAATTACTGGTGAGCGTGCAGCAGAAAAGAAAGGAAAGGGCAACGGGCGCATCCAAATTGACGGAGCGGCCTATACGTTCACCCCTGCTCCTTTTGAAGGCTGCTGGAAGCCAGCGAATCCTTCGTCCGTGGGCATGATATAACACTCCTGGCCACAAAAATCCTATTGTGGATTGCTAGACTGATGTGCTGTCTCGAGAAGGAGAGCAAAGGAATCGGGAACTGGAAAGGTGCGGGATGGACTAGTTGGCACGAGCGAACGGAGCGAGTAAGCAAGAACGAATGGAGATGGGGGTATAGGTGAGAGGAAAGAATTATGTCGAGTTTGGGAAGGGGTAGATCGTTTCTCGGTGCTTCCGATCTCGCTTGTGGGGAACTCGTCCGAACCAGACTACGACAGTACATTTTCGTTGTTCTGGTCTGGCAATAGTGAATATCGATAAAAACCCCGTCATTTGTGATTCACCAACGACAGCCAAGGAGGCCGTGGCTCGGGCTCATGACCACCATCTAGCATGACGAGCGAAGTTTCTGGGTGATAGATATGCTGCGCGATCCCCTCCATGGGGGTCAGGATAGGCCAACCCCGATGGAATATCGACGAGCAGGGAGGACTTGGGGGCGAAGTATGAGCAATGGTGAACATCGGAAAATATGGATTCCCAAAGACTGGAGAAGGGCCCAGATCACTGAACCAAGTCCGAAGCATGTTCGTTTGTGAAGCCGAGAGACCAGTATAACTGACGCTCGCTGTGGGGTATTGGTGTTCACCCCAAACTGGGCGAGCAACAGAGAGGCTGGTGGATCTCGGGGGTACGAAGTTTTTCGGGGCGAGTTGACTCCATAGGTGTCGGGACGTAAGGTGGGTGATGAGTACTATAGCAACTGTGCACTGAGAAGAATTCTGATGTTGTGCTTGTGCTCCCTAGACCCGTACGTGCGATAAGTAGGGTATAGCACAGGGAGAATGTCCAACCGAATAGATCCATATCCACAAGTCCGAATTTAAAGTAGGCCCTACAGCCAAGTTCGCCTCCTCCATACGGCGAGCGTCTAAACGCATCCATTAACCCCATCCTTCACCAATGTTTCCAGCAGCCAGAGCTGCGGGTACTTCCCAAGGCACAAACCTCGGCACTGCTTTTGCAACGAAGAGCGCCGAGCTAAGCTTTGCTTCGAGAAAGATATTCGACGACGAGGAAATGAGTGGGTGGCTGTGCAGAGGAAGTGTCAAAACTGGAAAGGGCGCGTTGCGACTGGAGATGGGAACGTAGGAATCCGAAGAGTTTACAGTGTCATGCGCCGGGCCGGATAAAGAGGAAGAATTTGGCCTGGATATCATTCCTGGAGTTTTGAAGGAGATCAATCCAGAGGAATGACCTTGGACCTTTCTCTCGTCTGACTTGAGAGTGAGCGACGGCCAGCAGCGTGAAAGCCAACGGGCAGTCCTTCAGTGCGAAAGCTCGCCATAATTGCGGGCGTTACGGCCTACTGGTATGAAGTCAGGTTGGGTAGCCGAGGGGTGCTAACTGTAATGACAGAGGGATCGAGCAGTAGTCGGAATCCAAGCCTTCTAGGTATTGCGAGCGCGTAGGTTTATTCGCTGATCCAAAGGCGGGTATTCGTTCGAGTGGCCCATCAATGGTCTGGTGGCGCCTAATGCCTCCTACTCGCGACCGTGAGCTTCATTGTCGAGACGACCATAGTAAGCAACGCACCATTGTTACCGACTTCACGACTTTTCTCTTCATCTGCACGTCTTCTGGCTGACGATAGATGACGCCAGGCAACCTCTGCATTCCTCTTCATGCCAGCATCTTCAGGGACTCGGACGAGCAATATGTAAGCGACAGAAAGACGGAGCAAGGAAAGATGAGAGAAAGACAAAAGAGAAGCAGAGAAGTAACAAAACAACGTTCAGAACAGCACTCACCGGCACCAGCGACGCAGACCAGACGGCTAGCATGCCCAAGTTCACTAGCCGTGCCCACGAGCCATGGGTCCGAATTCCAGTATTTCGAGTTGAGGCCCAATATCGCGCCGGTGACTTGAACGAGATTGAGTGGTGCTGAGAGTGAGCTTTGAATTTCGAGACCCAGAATGATTAATGATCACTTGTCCACAGAGCTGGCACTTCTATGGAGTCACCATTGAGAGTTGGGAGACAACCCAGGCGAAATACAAAAGCTTTGCGCACCATAGTAGAGTGATTTTTCATAGAATGCATTTCATCTTTTGGTGCTCAAAGAGGTGTACTATGCTGTTATTTTTCCGAAGAAATGAACTCCGGAGTGCGAAGGCGAAGGCTTGACAGGGCTCGGGTGTCATGGTGGTTGGGTCGAAGAGAGAGCCGGTTACGGTGTCACGTGTCACCGCGTTCTTTCGTACCACCATGATTCATCACAACTTCACAAGAAAGGCTCCGTTACTTCGAAGGCCATGGATAACCGTCTACCTCTCAAATCGGTGGATGGTATACTCAAAAATTGTGGAAAAGAATTGAAGGAACCCTACTTGTCTGCTCTCTTGTTTGCGAATTGTGGTCGCCCCTTTACCGCCCTCGAGCCTTTGACTCAAATTGCATCGAACTCAGA